TTATAAAGTGAAATCGTAGAGCGCTTGCTGTAAACTATGACCTTGGGAGGGCGCGTACGTCAAGTTTGCTCCAAAAGCCAGGAGTTTCATAGCTGTGCTCTCAGAGCAAGATTCTGAAGGAGAAAAAAAAAGAGAAACAGAAGAGCAGCAAGGCACTTGGATATGAACGCCGAAGGTTGCTTAACATTGTGTAGTAGAACGGACAGAGGTATAATAAATTAGAATAAATTCATATAATGTCTTGTTAGAGTGAAGTGAAGTCAGAGGCTCCATATTAGAGAATGTACTAATAAAGAACAACGAGTTATGGTGTTGAACAAGTTGGAGTAAGCTCACATGAAGGAAGGGAAGTCAAGGTTGGTACAAGCGAAGCGGTTTATTAGAAGGGTGTGTATATAGAGGGTGAAGTGTTAAGAATACTAGTGACTATATCTTTTATTGTCTTTTTTGTCCATCCGATGTCAGCCACGCAATCTTAGTGTAAAAGTCCGAGTTCGCATGTTATAGGTTGTCTTAGTAGTATAGCTAATCCAGCATAATATTGGAAACATGAGTCTAAGTGTTGAGCGTAGGAAGACAATCTATATCTTAGATTGACTGTCTTATTCTCAATTATAAAGAGCCTGATACATACAAAATGTGTCTTATCAACAAGCTCAAACGACTAGGTATCAAACCACCTCTAATCGATTGGCTTACTTCATACCTAAAAAATCGACACTTTAAGGTTAGGGTTAATTTCACTTTATCTCAGGCTATGGAATGTCCTAGTGGGGTCCCCCAGGGCTCAGTACTAGGGCCTCTTCTCTTCTTGATCTACATAAATGATCTTCCTCAACAGGTAACTTCAGACTTATTACTTTTTGCCAACGACGTGAAACTTTGGAGAGAGATACGCAACCAAGACGATACACAGGCACTTCAGGAGGATCTGACTCGACTTCAAAGTTGGGCAGACGATAACGGACTTACCTTTAACACTTCAAAGTGTAAAGTAGTCCATCTGCGACATGTCGCAAACTACAGTTACAACTTAGGAAACTCCTCTCTAGTAGTATCCCAAGTCGAAAAAGATTTAGGAGTCCTGGTGCCCCATGACTTAAAGTCTTACGCTAACTGTGACAAAAATGCCTTCCGAGCAAACCTTGCACTGGTAACGTTGAAGCGCATTTTTGGACAGTTTGACGGACGAACTTTCCATACAATCTTCATTAGTTTCATCCGTCCCCATTTAGAGTACGGAAACATGGTACTCCTCCGTCACTCCAAAAGGACAAGGTCACATTGGAGCGTATCCAGCGGCGAGCCACGAAATCAGTTCGAGGACTCAAATCTAAGCCTTACGAAGAACGCCTCCGTTCACTAGACCTTTACCCACTAGAATATAGGCGTCTTAGAGGTGATTTACTAATGGCTTATATTATTCTTAACACTTCTGGACATCCTCTTAAACACCTACATAAGCTTAGTTCGAATAATAACCTAAGGGGTAACACCCAGAAACTGGAGACACAACATAGCAAGACGGAATGTAGACACAACTTCTACTCCTGAAGAGTTGTCAAAAGCTGGAATTCGCTGCCGGCCGTGCTAGTCCAAGCGACTTCTCAGGAGTCCTTCAAGAGGCAACTTGACCTATTCTTAAGGACCAAGGACAGCATCACACTATGATTTACCAATTTCTTTTCCTGTTTTATTGTTAACATACCTAGGTTCCTGCCCGGAGGATTTGGTGATCCCCTGCTACTAGACACGGAAGCCTGTCAAGCGAAAGCTTCTTCTATTCCGTCCACAACCATTTGAACCATTTGAACCATTTGAGATCTGTTAACGGTTCTTGGAACTAACCTTTTCAGTTGTCACACTGCATGTCAGATGTAACAGCAAGACGGCATTCAGGTCGTTTGGATGAATTTTTCATGACTATATTGACGTACACTGTTCTATAGATGCTAGCAAAAGCTTGAGATCGTTGAAAAACAGTACACTAAAAACGGGCAAAAGTGGATTGAAACGAGTTAGGATAAACTGAGACTAGCCTTTACATGAAAAACTGAAAAAAAATGAAATGTCAGTTTCGTACTGTGAAGTTTAGAAAAAGTAGAGATAGACTTCTATACGGCCTTAGGAATAAAACGTTGCAAACCAAATCGGCTTAATTATACAGAGATTATTTATTTGCATCCAGCTCCAAATAGTTGATTATTTATTTTCTTAGCAAAAAATCCTTAATCCATTTTCATTTAATATGTCTTACTTCCGTCTTAAGGCTGGTAAGCCTTCTATTTCATTGTGGCTAAGATGTTGTGGAGTACAAGATTCTTAGAAACAGCAAGGTCCTTAGGTGCTTGAACTCAAATACACTTGATAGGATGTATGGAACCCAAACCAGAAATGCACTTAACTCGTGTTGCACTTTTTAACTCTTCGTTAGCTACGTTTTCATCAAATTCAGAATGGAAAGGCAATTAAGCCATACTCCTCAACAAAACCTTCCTATTATAAATCAGCTTCCTTACTTGTTTCATTAAATGAGATCATGGCGAGATTTTTATTCAGATAAACTCAGAATCATAGATTTTCTGTAATATTCACAGGGTGGACGAATAGATCCTCTCTTTTTTCTTAATGGCACACTCTAGGTATCTATTTCACTTGTCGTTCCATGTAAGACACAGCTTAATACAAAATGAGCATCGTGCATTCTAATTCTACGGTTATATATATATATATGTCTTCATTGTTCACTCGAGATCCCATTGTAATAATGTTATATCCAAACTAAGGTTTGGACTGAAGAATAGCTGTATCGGTGGATTAGACACGCGCCCTTAACCGGTTGAAACCAAAACAAGGTGATTGGATAAAATGACAGTTCTGAAATTCATTAAAATATTTAAATGTACATTGTTACATAAACAAATATGACCACCCAGCTGCTCAACCAATAATTATTCAATCGATCAGATCTAAATTACAATAAATTAGGAAGTTGATAAAAGGATGAGAGAAAATTACCAATCGCAACCAAGAAATGCTATTCTATCTTGTCTGGATAGATCACTCACCGATCCGTTCAACAGATAATATTCTGTTGCTTTATAACACAGTGTTTCCAATTCTGGAATAGTGCTTCAATTCACATTCTCAGTCAATACAAACAACACAATCAAAAGGAAGAGCAACCCAATATGGCTGCCGCCAAGGCTAAGTACCAGGTAAAGTAACATAAATGCAGTGCAGGAAGAAACATGGAAACTTAGTGAAGGCGTAAGAAAAATAAAAACTATAATAAAATAAAACTACTACCAACTCAAGTGGAATCAAAAAGACCAACAAAATGTACAACTAAAAGAAAAAGTAGGAATAAACTTCAAGTGTATTCATGGAGAGATTTTCATACACAAAACATTCGAAATGGATATAACAATAACTTTTAGTATTTCGTGTGAATGCGGAAAAATTTTCATCAAGTCAACATTTAATAAACTATGACAAACTATGTTTTTTTGTATATTTCACGTAATAAATTTTTGGTTGCCTACATATAACAATATCAAAACACAAGTTCTATGTTGTAATAAAAATACTAATAATATCTGAAAGTACAAAAGTGACTGTACTATTTATCAAACGGTTCCTCTAGCACAAAACTGCACACTTCATGATGAAAAGATTTTTAAGGGTTATGATTGATAAGAACATGAAAATCATCAAGAATATTTGTAGCAGAATAATGTCAAACAAATATCCACAAGAGACTCAATAACAGTTTGTACCAAACTGCCAAGCAGTAGATGTGGGCGACGGTTGTGTGTCATACCTTAATGTTCGGTTGGAGAAGAACATAATATAATTACATGGTATCCAGTTCCGACAAAATTAAATAATTATAGCGAGTCTTGAAGGAAGTTGAAAAATTACCGTCTTGCTAGTGAGGGCGGAGAAATATGAACGCATTTTGAATCACGTGCCGGGTCGAAAAATAATATCACTCAAGGAGAAAATCTAAAAGCATATTTATGACGCCAAATAAAACAGTTTGAAAGAAATTATATTGTCTTTAGCTTGTTATACTCAACGGGAAAACCTTGGTACATTGTTTCACAACCTAAGGAGGTCGGTGTATCGAAAAGTCTCTTTAGAAATGCAAGAAAGATTTTTATACTAAATGATGGGCCTTACTCAGTTTTTTTGCAAGCTGTTAGCTTACCTACTCTGAGGCTAAGAGGTTGTTAGCAGGTAGATAAAATTTATTTACGGTCCTCGTAATTTCATCATTCCAACTGAACGCGATGATATGATATCAAAGTGAGCTACAGAGAAGATCCGTCATAAACACGTATGAGCTTGAAGATGCTGCTGATATTCGTAGTTTGACAACGGCTTTTCCAGTAACATCTTTATAGCCGAAGAATACCAACCCAGTCAAATCAGAAGTCAGATGTGAAGAGGATCGAAAACACATTTGAAAAGCTATCGATATATCGGAAATCGTTTAATCTAAACTGGCTAGCGGTCGTATAAGATAAAAAGCACGTCGTATTTACTCGTTATCTGGTATGGATGCGTAGCCGAGCACCTTCATATAGGTGCGTCGAGGAAGACCAATGAGGTCAGCATTAATTTCGAAGACCTTCAGAAATATATTTTTACGTGAATTCATTCCCCTTTTTTATTACCTTTGCTTTCCTCCTAACTGGGATCCTTTAATTGTGGAAAAACTTGACAAGCACGACACTACTTCGCATTCACCAACAGAACTGTCATAACACCTAGGCAGTGCCTCGATATAATGTTTTATCACTACACCCTAGAAAAATTTAAAGAGTAAAATTGAGCAACAAATGAGTTAAAAAGGAACTACATCGTAGTAAATAAGAGCGGGGTAATTATAGCTGAAAACATATTATTCCTAATACCATGGTGTGATAAACAAATTTAAATCGGCAGGATTTAAAGGCGCTAATTTCGTTACTTGCGCCTCAAATGACCTTTAGATGGGTGAGTTCCTGCGTCCGCTTCATAAAGTGTGCGATTATATTCTGAAAGATATTTTTGTCTTAGATGGTTCGTGAATTATATTCAAGCCCTTTTTGTCAGTTATCCATGCTATTTTTGTTTATTTATGATAATTTATTGTTGGCTTTAGTGGTTTAAATATTAGTAACTGTCCAAATACCCTTTTGATATGTACACTGTGGGTTTTAGTTTTCGAAAAATAACCGTTTTAAGAGTTCTAGTCCTCTTTTTTCAGCTCTTTCATGCTTCATCGAAACCTCTGTCTTTATATTACTGATGTAGTGGTGTCTTAAGAGAGGCAATTATTGAAACCTGATTTCCTTCCGGTGAAAATGTGTCTTATTGCTGTTCAAAGTGTCGTCGGTCTTTTGATTTTAATGCAAATATCTTTGTAGACTACAGTCCTTGTGTTGCTATCATGATTGAACACATTGATGCTATAAAACTGGGTTGGTTTTCTATTAATTCGCAACCTCGGTTAAATAATGTTTTTGCTCCATCGAAGGACTGGACTAAACCGATTGTATGTAATGTCAAGAGCGTCCGAGAGTTTGGCGTGAAGTTCATCTATCCACTTGGCTAAATAGATTTTTGGCATTTCAGCTGGTGTTAGTTCATGATGAAAACCCTAAGCCTAATTACTAAAACTGGTTTATAACCCCCATTTAGTTCCGGTTGGTAGGTGGATATCCACAAGGTCATTTAGCACCGCTCAAAAGTCCATAAATTATGGTCTCGCCTATCAGTTTGTGTTGGTGGTAGTTGTATAACAGATTCAGATTTGTGTAGTAAGGACTGAAGTCCTACGGCCTGTTATTTCTTTTCTAGTATGCTTCTGTGAGTGTCCAGTCTTCTCTTGAAAGAGTCAATTGAAGGTGCGGACACCACTGCTTCAGGCAGCAGGTTCCAAGTATTGATGACTCGGTGTGAAAACCTGTATGCCATGGGTATTTTGTTCGTTCTTGACTTTTCTACTCGCTTGCTATGTCCTCTGATGTGTCCCGATCTAGTGGGACGAAAGAGAGGGAATAAGTTGGGTCCGGAATCATTTCTCAGTATTCTGTACATCAATATTAGATCTCCCCTTAGTCTGCGATAGGACAGAGTAAAGAGGTTCAGTTTTTCAAGCCGCTCTTTATATGATAAACCCCGGAGTTCCGGAATTGCACGCGTAGCTGCCCTCTGTACCTTTTCTAGTATGTCTGAGTCCTTTTTCAAACAGGGGCTTGCAGCCTGAACACAGTTCTCTAACTTAGTTCTCACTAAGGATGTGTATAATGTGGTGAACATGGTAGTATCTAACTTAGTGAATGTCCTTTTTAAAGCCCAGAGGGTTCGAAACCCCTTGGCTGAGACCTCCCGACAATGGGCCGTCGTCTTAAGATCATTACTCACTGTCACCCCTAGATCCTTATGAGACCGGACTACGGGTAATGACACGTCCCCTATGTTGTACGTATTAACCTTTGAATCCCCCAAGTGCATGTAGACACACTTTTCCGAGTTAATAGGCATCAGCCACTCTTTAGACCAGTTTATCATATTATTTAAGTCTGCCTGAGGAGTAAATGCGTCTTTGTTTCCAGTTATTGCCCGCCAAATTTTTACATCGTCAGCGTATAATAACATTGGGGACTGTACTATACTTGTAAGATCATTAACGTAAATTATAAAAAGTAAAGGATCTAGGACGGAACCTTGGGGTACTACACTAAATACTGGTCTTCAGATGGAGCACTTGGAATTTATTCTTACCTTTTGTCTACGACCTACTAGGAAATTCTAAATCCATTTTAAAAGAGGTCCGGCAATACCAAGGTTTTCCAACTTCAATAGCAGTCTATTAGTTGGCACCTTGTCAAAAGCCTTACTGAAATCTATGTAGACAGCATCCACTGAGTTTCCGTTGTCTAGCGCATTAATCCAGAACTCCTTAGCTAAAAGGAGGTTCGTTGTACAGGATAGACCCTTTCTAAAACCATGTTGTGCCATGTTCAGCAAGTTATTGGTTTCCATAAATGCTGTTATGGTCCGTTTGATTATTCTTTCCAGTATTTTAATTACAACACTGATGAGGCTTACGGGTCTGTAATTTGATGGAACTTGTCGTAGACCTGTTTTATATATGGGAGTGACGATTGCGTCCTTCCAGTCCATAGGTAACACACCTTGGTCAAGTGACATTTTGAATATCACAGTCAGTGGGGCTGCGATATATTGGGCAATATGTCTCAAGATTTTAGGATGTAGTTCATCTGGTCCTGTTGATTTCTCCATGTTTAGGGTGCTAAGAGCCTTAAGCACATCGTTTTGGTCGAAGTCCACGGTGAGCAGCTGGTTTGTTGACTCTGTAATTGGGTCTGGTTCTTTCTCTAGAGGAGGTTCCTGAGTGAAAACTGCCCCCAAATAGTCAGCCATAGCCTCTGCTTTTTCTTGATCTTCCTCTATCATTTCAAATTCACTTCCTACTTTAATTAGTTTAGGAATCCAGTGATGCATCCTTGTTCTGTAGTTTATGTACAAGAATATTCTCTTGGACTGCTTGAGTGCAGATTGTGCCAGCTGCATTTCATATTTTCTTTGCGCTTCCCGAATTTTAGTTATACACTCGTTTCTTATCGATCTGTAGCGTTCCATCGTACCTGCTGTGCCAAGGCGGATGGCAACATCCCAGCATTTATTCTTTTGTCTTAGTAGGCGTCGAATATCCCGCCCTAACCAGGGATGTCCGTGCTTTTTTTATTTGGGACAGTCCAGGGTATGTATGGTTGAGTTACCCGATTGTATAACTGCCTGAATAGAGTCCATGCCTCTTGTACTGATGCCTTTGAGTCAATTTCCCAGTTCTCGGCCGATGCTGCGGAGTTAATTGCCTGCATATCTGCCTTCCATATGTTAGGACGGGCCGGCGCAATTGTTTGACAAGCAATCTCAGCCATGAATTTGAATAAGATGACTGCATGGTCACTTCTCCCAAGTCCCGACCGTTATTGCTACCTTGACGTGGTGGTCGGGCTTGCCTATCGTGATGAAGCAACCGAGCTATACTGACTGGAACAACCGTTCCTCAAGGTCCTACCATGTCAGACAGGTCGGTTGAAGAGCGGTAAGACTAAAAGCAACAAACCCAAGGTCCGAAGGCGAAGTCGTACTGCTGACTGTACAGAGGTGTGACAGCAGTAAGGTGTTTCCTTCAGACAACCAGCATGACAGCAATGCTGCCTTCCCACAAGGAGGGGTGGGGTTAGAAAAGGTCGACCCTAAAAATGCACACCTCACCTTACCTCACGGATTTCCGTCTCCGGCGGTAAGGCCCTTTGAAGAACAGCTAACAAGTCAAAAACCTCCCACGAAAAGGCCGTGCGCGACCGGCCTCAAGCAGTTGTCCTCTGGGCACTGTGGTCACGCTCTCAGGTCACTGAGACCACCTCTAATCCAATTTCCTTTTCAGGTACCTCCAGAAGAACCCTTCCTCGGTGTGGGCAACCGGGAAGCGATAACCGCCCTCATACCTCTAACAGCACCCGAGACCACTATTCATAATCAACCTTCCTCTCCCAAGTGGTGGGAGAAAAGCCGTTTGACTAACGTCATCACCGTGTGTGAAGACTAAATCTAAAGGAGAAGAGTTTCTTAAGTCGTATCTTGTGGGATCTCTAATGTGTTGGAATAATGCTAGTCCAATCGAGGTTTCTAACAGTTTGGAGTCGAACGACGATATGGATGACCCTACTTCTAAGTTAACCCAGTTTATATATGGTGCATTAAAGTCGCCTACTACAAGGCTTTTACCGTTGTTACACCAGGACTTAAGTTTACTAAGGAGAAAATCATCTGCTACACATTCTGGACTGCGACAAACTACAACTACTTCAATATCTTGCCTTCGGCATTTCAACTTACGTCTCACCAGTTCACATGTCCCTGAAACATGTGCTACTGTCTCAGCTAATCTTATGGTTAGGGTACTTTTCGTGTACCGAATAACCCCGCCTCCCCTTCGGTTTAATCTATCAGCCCTACTGGTTATGAAACCAGTCAATTGGATTTCACTATCTAATACTCCTGACGTTAACCAAGTTTCCAAGACAGCGATAACGTCCGGTTTTTCTTTATCCACCACTGACTTCAGCTCCGCCATTTTATTTAGTAGGCTGCGAGCATTTGTGTAGCACACTTTTAAGTCTGTGGAGAGCTTTCCCTTGCCACCCAGAGTGGCTTAGGGATCGTTTTGCTTCGAACTTTGAATGTGATGTCTAATCCCGTAAAAATACATGAGTTCTATCAAGATTCCCGAAACAACTCACTGATTAATCTCGACCAGCACCAAAACTAGATCCAGCGCGTCTAAACAATTGCTTTGAACTATTTAATAGTACCAGAATGTTCTCGAGACAGTGATTGTTGCTCTTATTTCTTGATTTTACGTATGGACGTTTTGAAGCAATACACGCTTCTTCCTGGTTTCACATCCATCTGGACTTCACGTATTTATAGGAGCGGGGTGGTTACATCCAAAATGAAATAGTGATTTGTTTTGTACCTTAGTTATATCGGTGAATTGGCTTAATAAACGTTCGATTGTGTTGTCAGTAACACTTTCTGACTGACAATCCTATTGACAAATGCATTTTTAACCTGTTGATGTACTACATAGTAACAAACTTGTCATCTCTGTGCTCCGAAGTTAATTGTTTGACAGCCTTTATAAAAATCAGTCTGGAACAACTGACATTTCTACTCTGCACTGTCACGTTATTCTTTTAAGATAAGTGGCACCTAACTAGTTTTCAAATTCACCTCAAAGCCTTGTTGTGTAAAACCAATGTGTTGGTTCTGTACAGCACAATTCTTTAAATTTTATCATCTAATTTTGTTCCTGTTCATAAAAAGCATTTAAAAATTATCAGACCTCTGGTTACTCTTGGTGTTTAAACAAAGACAAATATATTTTTGTAGTTGTCTGTTATCAGGATAATTAATTTTAAATTAGATAAAGGAAGCTGTCTTGGTCGTGTTCCTTATAACTCGGTGATTGGATTCATCTTAGTACTTGTTGGAGGTGGTGTCTTGTGTGGTACAATTTATTCTGGAATATCACGTATCGATACATACTTTCGGTTGTATTTTTTTCCTGTGTACTCGTAAGTTACTAACATTTTAATGTTTTGTTTATTATTTTAATTGGGAGAATATGTTGGCATTCATTTTATTTTACTAAAGTTGTTGCTTAGTGTACCAACTTCAGAGAATCCTCAAGTTGGTTTTAACTTAAAACTATGGCTAACGTTTAACACGAATGTTATTCTCTGTATTGTACAACCTTTTAAAACTAAATGAAATAGGATCCATACATTCATATATAGCTTGTGTTTTTTATGAACGTCTATCGCTGCTACATTTTCCAGACGAATACTCCAGATTAACTTTCTAAACTGGAATACATCAGTAACTAATTGGTCACAGAACTTTATTTTTCAATGATACAAGTGGTCTTAAATATCCATTAGTCCATAGTAAATTCAACTTTACGAAATGTATCTAGATATCATCGTTCTTTTATAAGATACTGCACATAAATCGTTCTCGATCATGAGCATCTGTTTTAACAAAATCTATTCAATCTTATCATTAATTCTAGTACAATTGATATGATTTGTATACTAACAAACGTTTTTGAGTTTTTGGTTTACAAATTAAATGCTCAAGGTCTGGTATGTTCATTAGAGTAAATCTCATCTATGTAAAAATATAACTCATCATATGTTTTGTAGCTAGTGAATTTTATTGAGATGAAAAGCCATCCTATTATTCTTATTGTTCCTCGCAAATACTTTTATATTTCATATGACTGATCCCGTAGTATCCATTTACTGAGCTTTTTAGACAAGTTTTGGAAATCAATAGGCTTCACGTATTATTTTCGGGTGGAAAATCCTTCTTTGATTATCTTCCAAAACATCTTTTCTGTAAAGTCATACCTTAGTTATGATTGCTAATACATTATTTTTCTTTCTTTTCTATTTATCTTGTCGTGCTGGCCAACGTGCACTTGTACCGGGTTCTATGTTGATTGTGACTTGGTCACTGAGTTACTTTTGATTTACTTTTTTTCTGACCTTTTTTAGAAGTCATTGCTGTTATATCGATTGTTCCTTAACTTTCAGTTTACCTTATCTAAGAATAGCTGCAGTTGTGAATGGGGCAGTAGCTGTTCTACTCGCTTTTCTTATACTAATTTTCTCAACACTTGTGAATAATGCTACTCGTGGCCGCATCTATCGTGGTGATCGCTACATTATGGGTGGGCGTTGTTCAGCAGCTCTGGTAAGAATTTTGTAATTATTTTCGGCAAGTCAGTTTGTCTATTATAAACCGTATGTGCGCCTGTACAGAATTTACTAGAATTCTTTTATGGTCTGTGGAAAGGTATAAAATGTTATGATTTTATGTGGTTTATTTTCTAGGATTTCTAAGTGTAACACCGGAGTCATCAACAGAAACAAGTTATCCTTAGTTGTTTACATCAAGGACCCACATCAACCTGTAATCTCAGCTATAAAATTCGGAAATCTCCGCAAACGCCTATACTAAGAATTTTTCTTAGTCAGAAGTCGACTGTTGTGACTTTAAGCCTGCTTTTTTATCACGTGATTTATTCGTCGATCGGAATACGACTTATATAATATACGACTTATACGCTATACACTGTGCCAAAACAATGACGTTCGAACGGTATGAGCAGCCTAGCATGCTTATTGGTCCTTTGTTCGCCTAGCCCGGTCATTCGAGTCCAGAAAGCCAATACCAGGTTCCAATTTGCGAATCATTTATTTCAAACATATTGGTTCATATACCAACCAAACAGATCACATCACACCATAAAATAAGAAATAATATTTATACAACATCAAGCCAAAAGTGGCTATGAACGTGGGAGACTGTAATCAATAAACTGAACATAAGAAAAGTAGATCGTATAATAATAATCTATAGGTCAAAATGGATTTTATTATAAGAGGAATATATATATATATATAATATTAGCCCGTTACTAGTTGTTATAATCTCTTTTTCTTAGGGTATGACCTAGCTATTCTTATTGCTTAGTATTCTCGGACACCGATTCACTCGACAAGTCCCCAAATCAGAACACGGTTGAACAGGAAAGAGATTATATCCCAAATAACAAGGTTAAATGGAAGTAAGAAGCAAGTAAAAGCATAATAGAGAAAACGTTAGTATATTTATAGTTTTTACATGAGAAGATTCCAGAGTATTCTCCAACTATCGACTAGCGCTGATTGAATAAGAATTAGCCAATCAGCGTGCACCAAAGCAGTCGTGCATTGAGCATGCTTTAATCCAGTCTATGTCCCGCTAACAATAGTTCTCAGAAGTTACTCGTAATTTAATCTTCGATGAAATATAACAGCGACATCAAAATAACTATTAAGTTGAGTGGATTACATTTCAATGAACAGAACTTGGGCCTACCCCTCAGGTTACGAGTAGTAATTGCTGTTTAAAAGCTACTTAAATTTTGGTCAGTTAGATTCGGTTGCCACCTACAACCCATTGATTATAAGTCAATCAGTAGCTCTTCTTGATACAGATTAGTGATTAATTTTGATTCGTAAAGCAAATACCCTTGAAATTTACAGGAAGTTTGCAGTTTACTTACTTTTTAGTTTGGAATTGCTTGTACTAAAGTGTACTGAAGTACCCTTTACTCTCCTAACAGAATTCACTTGCACCATGTCAATTAATGTTTATTTAAATTATGTCACATTCGATGGATATTTGATCGTAAGGGGTATTGAGTTTTGTTTTTTAGTTTACTAGAAATATGATCTTTATCATGATTTTGTATCTGATTTTATCCTTCAAAAGAAATAACGTTTCGGAACGGATCTCGATAGTTTCAAGGTCGTCACTTGGTTATGGGATCAGAGTTTAAAGATATTATTTGTTTCGTAGTTTACATACACAATCTCACTTGTTGATCAAGTGTAATTAAAATGTAGGGAAAAAAATTAATTTTTGATAATTATTTACCATTTTTATCTAGTCGAATGCTTTTTCGGGTTATTGTTATTCAAACAGGTATAATAAAAAGCGGATAAAAGTACTGATGTTACTTATTTTGAAACTCATAAAATGTTCCTTAGATTGTTTATTTGTGTCTAACTATTATCTGTGTCCAAGTAAACCTTTCTACTAGATGACAATGTTAAGAAAATGGATATTCTAATCTAAGCCAGTATGTGTTGACGAACATTGATCGACATTTGTCAATACATCGTAAAGTATTCAGTTGTTTAAAATATCTTGTGGTTACATTTGTCGATTAATCGAATCATCAAACATCTATTTCACAGATCCAATGGCTTCCCACTGAAGCTTTCACAATTGTTTGAGTGTTTATGATTAGTTACTATTTGACTTGACAAAACTAATGATGTTTGTATTGAAAGTCCAGTTTACTCATTTTTACCTATTTCTGTCATTAATATACTGATAAAGGCAATTCTCAGTGCTTCCGAAGTATTGGGGCTAGGTTTTCCAGCCAAGGATGAAGAGGTTTTTGTAATCATCAATGGCACTTGCAAAATAAGAGTATCTATCTCTGTAGTTATTGTTGAATTTCGTATTTATAATTAGCTAACATATAATTATGCAACATTACACTTTTTTGCATTTCATTATTATATCTTTTTAATTTTTTCCTTTCCTTTTCCTTAAACAAATAGTTCATGTGCACCACATATGTAACCATAATTGTATGGTTAATATTTTTAGCATTCCTTGTTGTCCCTACATTTTGTTGGGCAATGTTCAACTCGATTTGTACTGCTGAGTTAGCTGATGTTTGGCATGGACCAGGTGCACGACGTCCTGGTCCTGATGGCCGTGTTGCTCCATCTCTGTTAGAGTTACGAGATCGTAAAGATTATCTGGCGGAAACGTATACAGCTCGTCTTGCCTACTATTATCAAAATCTCAATTTCGGCTATAATCCTTCTGAGTCTCAAAATGGTTTCAGACCTCCTTTTGTTAATCTGGGAAACTCGCCCAATCTACCAAATTATCACGCCAATCGATATTATTCTCCTGATTTCAACTACATTTTTAACTTGACACATTATGGTAAAGATGTTTTTTGGAATCATTCTTATTAATGCCACTTTCTAATCTTGTGCCTAATAAACCATATATATGTTTATATTATTTTTTATAGTTACTAAACCATTTGGTATAAAATAGTAACTAGTTCATATTCCATAGACGAACCTATATGAATTCAAATCAGTGGGCATGATAAGAGCATTGTCTATTTAATTTTATGAGTAATAATGACGTAAGTACGTCTTAGTTATGTACCGGCCTGTGATCTTGCCTATTTTGTAAGCGTCAGTTGCACTATTTATTATTTAAACACATAAACATTGGTACATGGGGGGCACCCAGTTCACATGGGCCACACAATAACAATGAGACTAGTAGTGGTTACCATTAATTTGTGTGAGGGCTGGGATACTACCCAGGTGCCCAAACCGAGGCGGATGGTTCTCTTAGGGAGGCACATTCGGAGCCATTGACCTGAAGGACAAATCCATAAGGCAATGGAGCATCGTTAGGAGATGCAGTCCAATGGTAGCCTTTGACCAACGATAGGTTTATACGCTATTTTTCCCTCAGGATCTTGGAGCCCAGCTGCATCATTGGTTTGGAGTCAGGGTTTCCCAGCTCCCCTAGGTGGATCCTCATTATTCACCAACCCGGCCAAAGCTTTTCGTTCTCTCAATTTTGTAAACAACACCCCCGACACGAGAAGGCAGTGAGTAGGACTTCCCTGACAGTGGCTGTATACGTGTGGCCTCGTGAGAGCATTTCAAGAGGGAGAGGTGACTCTCCCCACCGGCTGTAGTAGGGCATTTGGAAGCCTAGATTGTATTTAAGCAGAGATGAATTAGAGCAGGATTCATAAAATCAATCATTTTACGCTCTTCATGCATACAAGTATATGTTCATTCAGTATTCTATCCAAAGCCTTCATAATTGTAGTTAACTGATAAAATCCTCATAAAAATAGATTCAACCTTTTATACATTCGTCTCCTTTGAATAATACATTTACATCGATGAAAATTACAGCTATAGATATCATCCATTTACTATTAGGGTCATTTATTGCATTATAGTGACCTGGTACGTTTTTTTACCCCGAGCATTTTTCAACGGTTTCTTCTTAGTTAAAGAATATTGGTAAGCAATTTGAAAAGAATATGGAACTGTAATTTATTCGTGGTTGTAATTCTGCTACTTGGAATGTTTTATTATTCGCTTTCAGGATATCATGTGAACGACGGTTTTGGAAAATCGTATAGTTGCATATATTAAGTATCAGTAAAACGTTTTATTTATTTATAAGACTAAATGTGCTTGGTGAAATTTGGTACCGAAAAATCCCCCTTTGTAATTCTAAACTTATAATTCACTCATCTTTTATATTCCTCAAAATGTTATGGATCTTTTTCTAGTTTAATCAGTGACTTAGAAATAATTGCTATGCACCTAATAAAATAGACCTTAACATAGCGGTAAAATTAGGAATAATATCTTCCGTATCACTCAAATAAATCTGTGGCAATTATTTATCTCCCAGAATCCCATTTTTCTCAGTGCTTGCTTTCCTACAATAAAAACATACGCTTTTTGAACATCGCCATTAATATTTAATTAAATGATTCTAAAATTGATTGACCATTAAATAGTTTATTTTGTAAAAGAAGTGTTGTAATTCTCTCTTATTACGACCCGGTTATTCCTATTGCTGAGTATTCTTGGACACCGATTCACTTGACCAGTCCCCCAAATCAGAAAACAGTAGAACAAGAAGGAAATTATATTCCAAATAACAAGGGTAGATGGAAGTAAGAGGCACAATAAAAAACAGTATATTTATAGTTTTTACATGAGAAGATTCTAGTCTTCCCCAAGTATCGACTAGCGCTGGTTAAGAAACAGCCAATCAGCGTGCACTGACACAATCATGCATGGAACATGCTTTAATCCAATGTGTCCCGCTAACAAGAAGTATTTATAATATCCCATTTTAATATCATTTTTCTAAACAAGTACCGAGTTTTATACTAAATGCCTAATACGAGCAGTTCAGAACAGTTGATTCAAATTGTTCAATATTCATGTTCGAATCTGCAATAAGAACATTCATCTGTTTTATCAGAATTTCATACTGAATATTTGCACCGGGTTTGTTGACAGTTAATTCAATGTAACGATTTCTAACTTCAATGTACTATGTGTACTTAAAATTGGGACTTTGAAAAGTACGAATAAACTTATCGACCGACAAGTTCCCATCTATTTGAAATGAATATCATAATACCTGTGTATGTACTGTGTGAAACACACATTCATTTTCAGTAAAGCTCAACTGTGAGAAAATCAGGAGCGCGACAGATTTCTGATCACATTCAGCCAATCATTAAACCACAATTGTAAATAAATGATTTGTAATGCTGGAACTAGGATTAAGGTTTTAGCAATAAGATTTACAGTTATGATTGGTGCTCAAAATTTACCATTGTGATTTAAAATTGTGATATAGATTTTAAAATTTGAGTTTGGGGTTACAGCTATGATCAGGATGTAGGATTTAGGATTTATGGTTGCGGTTACAATCAGGGTTTATGAGTAAAGTTAGAATTTAGTATTGGGATTAGGCTTTACGCTTAATATATATTTACCTTTATCCTAACTTTAAACCGTACATCTTAAACGTAAACTCTACATTTTGTCCTTAACCCTAACCTTAGGTATTTAATAATGTTTTTGTCATCAGTACTAATCATCTATGTTCGATAGATAACGTTCTATTTCGATAAGTGTGTCGTGACCTTGAAGCACCTCGTTTGTTCTTTGTTGGTTCTTTATACTTCATCTTTATCATTATCTAACAATGTGAACAGGATATAGGTTTTTAATAAATTGGCCGTGTTCTTATTTTACTTCATTCATTCTATTCCTTATTATGTTGCGCTACAATTGAATAATAGTTTAGACGAATATGATGACCGCTATGGATATTTATTCTTGTTTATGCAGCTTTTAAAAAGTCTGGTTGTCTTAAGCAATGATCTCAACAACCTGTTAAAAATCTTTGTTGCTAACACACATTTTACATAGCTTTAAATAATAAACGATATCCTTTAAAGCATAAGGTGATAATTTGGAGAAATAACCATCTTTTGTAAAAGCTATACAAATTTATTTGTCGTTGCTAACGCAACTACAGACAGAGAGAGTCGTTTACTGGACACAGTGGGTTGATTATTTCCAGTTTATTGAAGCGATATCAAATATTTTATAAATCTGCCAGTGAAATTCAATTATTTATTTTCCTATTGTTGTGTCAGTGTTTTATGGGTACGCTATTTCTCTTTTTTTCGAGGTGTTTATATTAAACCATGGATGTATGATGAGTCACTGAATTATCGTGAAGCCATTACTTCGCTGAACGAATTCGCAAGATTTTGTGACGAAGTAAGTTTGACTTATCATTATGTTTTTCATTCATGTGTTGTAATGTGTGTGACTGTAGGTTATGATGAGCAGCGTATTTATCGATCGATTACAGTGGACACGCAAACACGTAGTGGACGACCTAGTGTCCCGATTAGGTCCCGCTTCCCTGTCTAGCCCAGCCAGTTGAGTCTAGAACGCAAGTCACAGCCTCCGAGTTATGAATCATTGTATTTCAGACATACTCTATTTATATACCAAACAAACAAACAAACCACATCGTACCATAAAATAAAAAACAACATTTACACAATATTTAACAAGTGAAATAAACATCGACCAATAGGAAATGTACATTTAAGGTCCAAGGCCACCATAGACTTAACACGATATTTATTGGTATATTTTTCCGACTATCCTAACATAATGGTAAGTACATACTTGTAGTGTTAGTAATGGCTGTATCAATGTATAGGGTGAGACAGTAGGTGGACTAAAAGTACACAAAGAAAAGCAATTGGAGAATAAATAAAGTAATGAGGAATAGCAGAAAATGGATTGCTGTAGAATGATTAGGTATAGCTGGTGTTGGATAATTAACGCCTAATGCACAATACGAAGTTACTCATATATTTCATCAGTCATGGTGGATTATTGACTAACAAATTCTCGACACGAATGTAAACAACGTTCTTGGCTTTTCACAATTTTCTATATCTAGATGCTTCATATATGCTAGCAGGTCAGTTTAAGGCTTGAGACGGCAGTCATACTAAAGTATGACATTTGTGCATAGATGTATTGATTTCTAGTCTGAGCCATGTCGATCAGTACAGACTTCCAGGTCAATACTTCTTATATAATCGTGGTTCATGGTTGAAGACGTTGATTGATCAAGTCGAAGCTTTAGACAAGAAGTTTTAAGCCAAGTAGGCTGTAAAGGAACTTCAGGAATCGATTTTTAATGATAACCGATCGTTATGTCAGATTCCCATATTGTTCATTCTCTCGTCATTATGATTTAAAATTATGATCTTTCTCACATCCACAGACTAAGCAATAAATTACTGGTTTTCGAAATTTTTACATTTGATGGGGGGATCTACCGTTTTTATACACAAACGTACCGTGCTTAATGGGTAGTGAAATTCGATAAAAGCAATAGTTTGTGGTCCATGATAAGTGAATGTGATGATCTATAAACTGATATCTTTGATATGTGCTATTGATAAGTATTCCAAAAACCTAATAAATTCTGCATATTATGATAAGTTCTAGTTATGGTGACAGGTGATTTGAACACTTAAACTTGTATCTATTAGGTCACTAGCTCAAATTTAATCAAAACACTATCTACCTTTCAGGTAAAAAAATGTGACTGAAGTTGTACGTGTTCTGAGCCACGTTCATTTGGTTAACAGATTAATAACTACTAATGCCTACTCCCTTCCAGAATTCTCTATTTTAGTAATTCTTTCTTAGCTATTTGTTTCATGTGAGACCTAGTGTCATAACTCTCTGAATGTCGGTAATCATTGTAATCTTATTCCTAACACTGATTATTTATTCATTCTCACTTAGTTTCTAATTTAACGATGCTCCGTTTATCTCCTATTGTACATAAAATGAATAGTTAGTTTCTCGCTTCTGTCGTAGTTACGAAAGTCTCGATAAGAATGGTGTATGTAGCATATTTAAAAGTCATTCTTTTGTTGCCAAGGTATGATCCCATGATAGGACAAAGTAGGTGTCCGGTGCTTCTTCAGTTTCAGTGGCTGTCTAATCAATATCAGTCCATGATGTAACCTATGAAATAAAAATCAAGTTTATTACCTTCAATTTACTTTAATCTATCACATTCACACTTGCTTCTACAACGTTTTTCCCATTTATCTAGGTTATGATAGTGGGTCCACTTTTTGCTTGTTCACTTGGCGGTGCTGTTTTTGTTCTACTTGGTTTGGTACGTTTATATATTTCTTTTTTATCTATTCTATTCATTTACACACTTTTTATTAAACCTTTTATTATTTTAGTCTTGTTATACAAGATTATAGTAAAATTAACGGAAGTAACCTATTGTGCCATTGAAGAGGAATTCAGACAATTCAAGGAGGAAATTTTTCTTTTCAAGAATATCATTTTCTCTAGTTTTACAATCGTATTTATAATTGATTTACGAATAAAATAGTCCATTAGAAGACAAAAGGATGGTCACATCATATCATGTGTCAAAACAAGTTGATTAATAATCGAAGATTGAAGTGAGGAGAGAGATAATTGGATGAAATCAGATATGGGAAGGATACAAATTAAGCTAAAAAGGTAAAAATTAGGAACAGAAGAATGTACTGAAATTGGATTACCATGTTAGGTGCACGGACGAATGATGGCTTACATGTGTCTCTTTTGCACACAGAGTTCATGTTTGAAAAGATGAATTACTAACCAATAAGATTTCTATGAAGTCTAATGCGCATAATTTTGTTTTTATCAATATCATTGTAAGGTAGTATCATAACACAAGTCTGCCTCAACAGTCACATACGGATTTTGTTTTGCTACCGTTAGAGAGATCCAGAATATTCCTCGAAAAATGCTTATACGGTCCCTGTAAATTGTAGGAAACATTTTACCCAATCAGCGTAAGATAGAAGTCTCTCAGGAACATTTAGAAAGTGAAGAGTCACGTGTCACATTTCTGATTGAATGGTTACCTGCCCTGCTACTATGTTTAGTAGCGTTCAAGAAGCCTAAAGCCATCTGAAATGCCATAAATACCCTAAATTTTCTGTACATAAACGAACCTTGGAGTAAAGCGTTCTTCCCATATATCGCGCCATTTCTCTCGTGTTCAAGTTTTCGTGTAGCCTAGGATTATTAGAAGAGCTTAGGAAACTGATTCAAACGTTCAGTTAGAAAATTTACCAACTAAACGATACGATTATCAGCTACACCTATTTTACAAGTCAACAGTAATGTCTGATTAACATCAAGCTGTGAAGTGTACTAACTTTTATAGAAGTCTAACATAGCATTCTGCTTGAATAACGAATAACCTAAAATATTTTACCTTGTTATGAATCTTGTCACATTTCGATAAACGTTTTGCTAACTTTCAATATACGAATAGGCCATGATTACTTTAGCTGATACTGGGCTGTCCAACCCCTGTGCATAAGTCAGGTGGAGGTCGAGCTAATCACACTATCTTTCTAAATCGTGATTGTATGAGAAGAGAGTTCTACTGGAAATTTAAGAGTGCAATTGTGGCACGAGAAAAACTTCATTTTGGTGCTTAAACAGACTCGTCTGGAGGGACCCATAAGGTCTGGCTGCTGCGGGCCAGAGTGTAGGCCATAAACTGTGCCGTAACTAATGCACAGAGGTCAACACTAAATCTGCTTGTGATATGGATGTAAAGTGAGCACATTGTCTGTGACGACTTATGGATATAGTGATTTGAATACTTGATATTCATTCCGTAAAAATAATTCTGAGTTACGGTCTGAAGTGATTGCATTTATATCTATATGTACTATATGCAGTGTATGAGCCTTGGTTTATGCATTTTATGTGTACATGTATTGTATACTTGCGAACGGAAACTTTTAAGCCTACGGAACAATGGACAGAAATGCAACCAGTTCTAGAAGTAACTGACTGTTGGACTGATCCGTGTTTGTAGGTGCAGAACTAGTTGGTGTCCACACGATAACTTCGATCAGTGATTGAAGATGTCAGATGGCATGTCGTATTATCGACCACAGTGGAACAGATGCATTCACTCTTTGTTTTCTAAAAGATCTTGAGTTTAAAGATTATCTTATACTCCTTATTCTGCGAACTCATTCTTCTCAAACTATTGTTCATCTCCAATCTTTACTATTACGATCGATACTGTTACTACTTCTGCTACTCTAATATTTGTCCTCAGACTTTCATCTCGTTTTCCTGATGTAATATGGTAGCAACTTGCACCGATGCATATATATTTCAGAATTTACATACTTATAAGTGAATGACTGAGTGACAAACTGTTTTCTTCTCTTTAAATTGATTAACGTAAAAAAAGTCTCACGTAATATCTTATACATTTGTTAACTGTTTCTTTTTATTGCTCCATTTTTGTTTGCCTTCACAGACTCTATTTGTTGGCTCATTGTCAGCTTATTATACTCGATTAAAATTGACAAAAGAACTGACAGATTTCAAACAGAGCATTGCATTAAGATCACCCAAAAATCATGATCCATCAGCTTATTTTTAAATAGCAGAATCCCTACGTACTATTATTATTATTGTTATTATTATTATTATGTAAAAATCTCGGTGTTGTAGACAATGAAAGGAAATATTTATAACCTTAATTAGTTTGTTTTTAAAGCAAAGTAGTGAAAATGCATTTTCTCAGTAGACGGAAGGATAAACAGGGAGAAGTGGGCACGGGAAAGAGGTTGAAAAGAGGTGGTGAATATGGCAATGATTATGGTTTGTTTGAATTATTTTCTAATCTTATTTCTCACAGTTGTATATACTGTGTGCACTTTCCAGTTGTTGTTCTACACACTTGACAATGTGCGATGTGTTCAATTCATGGTCTATTTGTTTGTTTGTATGTGCATTTTGCCTCTCTTATTTCCACTCAATAATGATAACTGTCCTATCTTTATTGTACATGATAGTATGTTTGGAGAAAAAGATAATAATTTGATAAAGTATTTTTGTTTAACTGCTATCAGTTATAGTAATAAAAGTGATTATGAGTACCGTGTATTTCGCTCCATACTCAATATGGATATATATTACTCTAGTTTTTATTATATGTTCTGTGTTTACTCTATATTCATTTGTTTGGCTTTCGTTTTTATTTTTGGCCTGTCCCTATCATAGGATATTCCATTTTATCTTTTATATACTATTTGTATTCACTAAATGGTGAATTATGATTTTGGTACTAGTCAATAATCTAATAATTAGTATCTATGTATATGCGAACAAGAACATACGCTCCATCTATCTCCCTCTTCTACGTTTTCGTTTACATTGTTAATCAAAACCATATATATGTATTTTATGTATTGAATAACACAATAGTGATCGTGCTATCTTGTCTGACTATCGCATATAGTTTCTAATCTACTACACTTTGCCTATCTATTCATTTACTCTGCTTTGTTTTTTTCTATCAACCCAGTAAGAATGATACAGGATAAACTTTTAACAACATAAACATATTTTTATATATTCAATATATCTCAGTTATTACTACCATTATTCGCTATTTCACTTATTTTCTCTTGTCATTATCATTTATACTGTCTTTTTTCTACAATGTCATAAGTACAACTTTTTTTAGAATGAAATAATTTCCAATATTTTATTTTGCATTTTATTTTGTTGATAACAGCAAACTTAAATTTGAAGAAACAAGTATTATCACCAAGTATTTAGCTAAAATGACACTAGTCTCGTTGTTCAGTTATTTTCATCATAATGCAAATAAGGATCTCATAATTATTTCTTTATGTATGTGTGCATGTATGTATGTCTTTTTTGTAAAGTGAAGTTCTTGAAAGTTTCAGTAAAAAAGAGCATTTTTGGATCAATTTTTCCTCTTTGTTTACATAAATGTATACTCAAACTCGAAAAAAAGTTTACTTCAATATTCCATGATATTTGTTATTATTATAATTATCACTACTATTACTACCACCACTACTACTACTACTACTATGGTAAACTGGAACTTCGAATTACTATTCTTTGATTTAACTTTACGTTTGAGATATTCATATGAAGAGAAAATCAATGCATTTGTGGTGTACCCCCTTTTTTTGATTTTAATCACATAAATAAATTGTTCTCATTATGTTAACTCGCTCGTTTCATTTGTAATTATCAATAATTCACAGAAATTCCAATGGTGTTGTTACACCGGTGAGAAGTTAATCTAACATTGTACAGAATTCCCAAGGGGAAAGATTAAGTTTTAAATTGTTTAAAAATGTTAGAATGTGAATATGATCGACTAACTTAAAAATATGATCAATCCACAGAATGCGAATGAAATAAATCACACAGAATCCTTAAGAATATTTCTTATGGAAACCATCATATCCAATTGTCAATGTTTCGTTTCCGAGTTGAAGCATGAGTGAGATTTAAAATGGAATCAGGATAACCCGTTTGTGACAGTAGTAGTGTAAGTAGGTTTAGCTAAATAAGTCCTTCATATTCGTGCGAAATTCTCATTATTCTATCAACGTGTAATTTTTAGCATAAGAAACTATTGACAACTCAGCCGCTGCACTACTTTTACCAGAGTGAAACGACTCTGCATTCAACGGATATGAAATGCATCCCACCTATTTTACACTGATTCATATCATCCACAAAGTATCTTTGTCATGAATATTCGCTTTGAAAGAACGCATCATTGAAATTGTATATTTTTGGAGCTTCGCTCTCAAGCCTGGCTGGTAAGACTGCATGCTTTTTACGGTACCAAGTTTCATCAAGCGTCAATAAGAAGTTATTTATTGTTTGTACAAAATGTTGCAAATCGGATGACCAAATCATATTATTATTTTTATCTAACTCTCCACTTCTATACATAATTTGACTAACTTAGGTTTTTCCTAAGAATGATAACTCCTCAGGGTTTTTGATAGTGTAATTTTTTATAGATATGGAGAAATAGTTCCGAAAGGTTATTTTCGTGTAATTAAGCGAACTGATAGGTAGACTTGATTGTATAGTGTCGAATACATTTAGTACATAGAAAAATCCGTCTTGACCTAACATATATAGGATATCCCTACATTTGAGTTAAAGTCTTCGATCTTCTAATGTTGAATAGATTTAAGTTCTGAAGTCCAAAATATGGTTCTTAGGATTAGTGATTTGACATCATAACGTCTTTTAGTTGATAACGAGTAGTTGCATGTTAATTAAGTATCCATTTGATTGAGTCTCGATGGTCTTGAAGCGACTGTTTCTCACTTTGTACACTCAGAATCACATGTCCATAAATAAAATCGACTATGGTGTTGAGTTACTTAGTTTTCAGATCACGCACCAAACTTAGTAGAGATTTGTCGACAGTAAACAGTATGATATTTTTGATGCTCTTCGACAATATTTGTACTATAGGTCATTTGTCGAGCTTAACTTTAATGTGTGACTGCAATGCTAAGTGACGCGAGTGAAAATCTCAAATAAATCATTGGTTTTCTGGTCAAATGGATGCTTTGCTGATAAATCCCGAAGTAAACGAATTCATAGCTGAGTTATCATGGTTTCCATTCATTCTCTCCCAACACTATTGAACCAGTAAGTATGATATTAAGACCTCGAAGGGAATTACAAGTAAACCATATATCATCATTAGTGAATATTTGAAAATGTTAAGGACTTTAAGTTACTCAAGAATTGAAAACCTAGCAAATTAATGAGAACATCCTTCCAATTTTAATGCAGTTCATTGAACGAATTTTTGTCAAAGAATAAACTGATATTGCTTGAATATCAGTTTAACCTGGAATAGACGTATATAATGTCTTCATTATACTGATGGAACACATGAACTGCTTATGAAATTTCAAGGATCGAATTAATGTGGGAAATTCATTTTTATGCGTAGGTTGATACATTGGTGAAAGATTGGATGTCGGTTTTTCCGTCGAACTAATATTATTTCTACTAATCACTTCATTCTTAATAGCTGCATTGATATTTTCAAATAGATAGATTTTGATGTATTACCCATTGAATCAAACTATATATTACTGTTAAATATAAATAAAAAATTCTCTTATTCACTGTTTTTATTCTAGTTGTTTACATTTAACAAAAATAGATCAAAATAGTGAAAACAACTTTATATAGTTTACAAACTCAGCTCACAATTAGACTATAATCACGAGTAATTCTATTGAGTTTGTGATCTAATTAGATTTTCTTTTGCCCTAGGCAGAATAAATATAGTGACAAAACAGTTACTACGATAATAAGAATGTACTTTTATTTAATAATATTTGAGTATATAAGGTCAGAATATTTCCTAGCATAAATGAGTTGTTTACTCATCTAAACATTTCAGTTTTTTTCAACCTATTTTTCTATAAATACATAGATTCTCAAACATCTGCAATGTTGGACTAATTACATTTTGTGAAATAACACATAGAATTTGATTAAAGTACACGATTTCTATTGAAGAAATTATGTTTGCTACTTTAAGTCCTAATTTAGCATACTATGATAGTAAATGAGTTTTGACAGTATTGATGTATATCAAGGTAGTTAATTGACAAATAAGCACAAATCATAAACGAAACAAGTAACTAGTAACCTATGATTGTTTCTGATAGACTTTATACAGAATATGCAGTAGTTAAAAAAGTGTTATTGATGAAAATTTAATTTGGATTGAATGATTCCTTGAAATACCTTATCTTGATAACAATCTTGTGTTCAGTAATGAATAACATCGTAGTAGTTTTATAAAATTTTAATGGAAACCTATGGTGACTGGTGGCGTTCATTAGATGTTAGAACTAAGAAAAATATCACCAAAAATATTTGATGGCGATTACGCTTTATAAAACAGACTAAAGCATGGATCACTGAATTGTGACTCAGTGATCTAAATTTATGATGCTCTCAACGGTACCTGGAAGTCATACATTCAATTCTTTATAGAGTCATAATTGTGCATTATGATGAAATCTTAGTTACTCTGCAAAATGATCTAAACTATACGGAACTATTAATCCAGTCCATTCAGCTTGAAAACAAACTATTATTACAACTTCATTTAAGATAATTGTGAGTAAATTTTTATTAAGAATAATTATATATATCCTACAAAACATTTTGGATATATATTGTAATCATCAGTTGCGTGGATATCAGAATTTAATAGCATACAATTCCAGATATATTAGAAATATTACAATTCTCCATTGATGTGCCTTGGTTCAAGTTGTTTAAATCCACAATAACATATGAAAATTAATGTCAACAACAATGAGGAAATATTAAAAAATGGAGTGTTAACAAATGGCTGACATGTAGTAGTATGAGACCATTACAAAGTGGATGATTACTATAGATTCTGATCGATATCATTATTATTCTGTGGTATTAGAACACAATTATTCCTATCAGAATACATGTATGGAATGCAACAATGATTTTTGTTTGCGTTGCTATTTACACTTGTATTGTTTGAATGCTGCGAAAAGTCAACAAGTGTGACTACAA